CTTTTGTGGACCGCGGTTTTGACGGGTCACGCTTGACCGTAACCAGCACACCATCAAAGAAGGAATGCCATCTTTGCTACGGCGAAGAAGGAAGCCTGAAAGGGCAAAGCGGCATAAGCCAGGAGCGCTTCACTCACTGCATCTCCTCCAGTTTGACCAGCAGCTGTTCGGCCAGCTGTTTCTCTTTGGCCTCTCTGATGCCTTTGTCTTTGGTCCGATAGCCCTCGAGTTCGAAAAGCTCCTTCTCTCCCGGGGTCATTCCCATTTTCCTCTTTTCCCTGCGGAAATAAAAGAACAGGCGGTCGGGCGCTGTACGTTGGATGGCATCCGTAGATTAATCCGACTGAATTAAATCCATTTTCCAGAGCTGGCACCATCAGCGGAGCCCCGAGTGCAACACGCTAAGCTACAGAGAAACCTAATTAAGTGTGAAACTAACCAACCCTAGCAAGCTGTGCAAATGCTTTTCTCAGTGTAGCTGCCCTGTTCCTGCCTGAAGCCATCAATGATTGTTCACACAACAAAGAGTTTGTACAACATAAAAGGTAAACTCGTGCCGACTCTAAGAGAGGGAGGCTCATCACCATTTCTTAGTTGAGGGAGCCAGCATTCTCCGAAGATGCTCCTGTGGCCATGGCTATATAGGGTGAGCCCAGGGGTGAAACGCTACCAGTTTGGGCTGGTTCAGTAGTAAAAAAAAAATACTTTAAAAAGTTTTTTAAAGTTGCGACAATCAGCTGTGCAGCGTGCAATTCTAGTGAATCTAAATCGTGCGGCACAGCTGTCCCTTATAGAAATCACTTATTTCTAGCTTTTGGAATCAAAAGCCTTATTATTAAGATATTGACATTTACTAGCTGGAGTAGCGGGATTGAACAGTCAGCCAAATCACACCGTTGTGGTTGATTTGATTGGAGAGGGCTGACTCATGTGTGAGGCAATCTGCGCTGCGATTGGTTACTATGGGTGTAAAGGGGGAGTTTCCCTTTTTCCCGCCTTTTTTCGTCTGTGTGCTTTGTGATTTACCTCACGATGCTCCCATTTGCCTAACTAGCTTGTTATGTGTGTGTGTGTGTCTGTGTCTGTGTGTTTTTTTGTGTGTGCAGGTCGGCATATTCGGGTCTTTTCCCGTGTAAGATTGAGAGTATCTTGGCGACGTTTCGACGAGGTCC